ATCAGGGTTAGTTGACATTGTGCTTGTTAATAATGCAGTACACTTCCATATTCAGAATGCATTATAAGAAAATTCGGTAGATATTGCTACTTGTACTATTTGTGCAACCAAAATCGAAACTGGTAAAGCATGCATGCCACTTTAATGTAGTTGTTGACAATTATGGATACAAGAAGCCTACTTCATATAAGCCGACATAAATCTGATAAGCTGCTGCAAATGTGACATACCGTTATTGAAGAGATCCAGTTCGTCATTGCAGGCAAGCGGTTATTATGAATGTAGAGCGTCATTTACGTTTGCTTGTGTTGCGCACCATTTCAAATAAAAACTGTAGAATGTCAAGCCCTCCATCCAAGAAATGTGATGCTTCCAGTCGTCAATGTGGGGCAAGTTTGGATCCTTATACTACATCTGTGTTGTTATCTGCACTGCAATGCTACTCTGCCTTCACATGCTAGCAACAGCATTTATTCCAACAAACAAAGAATCTGAGAGCATTTTAACAACGCCTTTAGCCAAGAATTGATGTGCCTATTTGTATGTCTCTATAACCCTCTATTCAGTAATTTATGAAATTTCGTTGTAATTCCTTGCCTGAATTCATTGTTTCCACTATTTTCCACGAAAAAAGATGGTTTCAGTGTCCACTATGCAGAAAAGCTTTTCCATGTTACAGCACCCTAAACCAACACTTTTAGGATATCCATGGGAGTGGGTCACACAATCGTGACCAATTTGCACGTCTCATTGTGCAACAACCATTTTAAGAAGGGCAACTGGAATCAAAGAATGCAAAATTATTTTACCAAAATGGTGGAGCTTGTTATTTTTAAGCTTCTTTAAGTGCATGCACATGCTCCCATTTTAATGATTCATTCGCCATCCGATGCGATTTAGGTAACCACATTGCGATTTATAAGACCCTCTGTAGTATTGCTCAAAAAAGGCTTCCAAAATTACTATGTCCAAATATTATATTTTCAAATGGAACTTAGTTGTCTATCGGCATCACCATAAATAGTTCGGGAGCAACAGGACCCTAAACGATTGCTTACTGGAGGTACCCGGTAGGAAAAATTACTAAATTTGGGCCTTCATTAGCTGCCAGATACATTATCTTCGGTATTTTAGGCATTTACTTTTGAGTCCCGAACTTCCAGAGAGGAAGTTATTCATTTGCCCATTTTGCTCTACATTCTTTTCATGATGAGGTAATTTAAAACTTTACATTTCTGAAGTCCATGAGGAAAGGCCAAATGTGCTTCAATTTTTTTGCAAATTCTAGACATGTACTCTTTGTTGTTTTGCAATATTTTTTCCAAATTATGCCTTTGCACGGCGGCTTTATTATTGCAAGGATTGCGATGAATCCTGTTTGCAGCAGAGCCATTTAAACAGGCATATTGCTGCGATTCATGGTAGAAACTCAAATAAATCCTAAAAGTGCTTTAATTTTTTATTATTTTTGTCTGCGACCAAACATCGCTTAAATTTGTCAACTTATTCGTATTCTAAGGGAAGTCTTTCTATGAGATTAAATTTCACGTCTCTTACAATTTACGTGGAAAAATAATGTTGTAATC